GGAGGGAAGGAGGGAAGGAGGGAAGGAGGGAAGGAGGGAAGGAGGGAGGGAGGGAGGGAAGGAGGGAGGGAGGGGAGGAAGGAGGGAAAGAAGAGAGGGAGGGAAGGGAGGGAGGGAGAAAGGAAGGAAGGAAGGAGGGGAGGGAGGGAGGGAGGGAGGAGGAAAGGAGGGAGGGGGGAAGGAAGAAGGAAGGAAGGAAGAAAGAAGGGAGGGGGGAGGGAGGAAGGAAGGAGGGACGAAGGGAGGGAGGAAGGGAAGTAGGAGGGAGGGAGAAAGGGAGGAAGGGAGGGAGGGAGGGAGGGAGGGAAGGAGGGAGAAGGAAGACGGGGAGGGAGGGAAGGAAGGAAGGAAGGAAGGAAGGCTCTGTGCAGTCAACAACCCTGCAGCTGCAGCTGAAGTGTGGCAGGCAGGCCAAGGCTGGGGGTGATCTGAGGTCTCTCTGCTGGTCTGAGCTCTCCCACCATGAGGCTTCAAATTAGAATTTCTAGTCGTATGACCTTGGGTGAGCGATTTCTCCTCTCAGAGCCTCCATTTCTCTAAAAGTAATGAAGAAGTGTAATAGCTGCCCACAACCCCTGCTCACATTGTGAGGCTGTGGACACAGCAAGGACTCCTTAAACGTTCCTCACCAATCTGCCTCCATTTCCACCCTGGGCCCTGACAGTCAGATGCCAGGTATCTATTGAGTGCCTACTATGTGCGGTGTTCCTGGAGTGCAGAAAGAAAAAAACAAATGGAATGCCTGCCCTCACAGCACTCAAGATTAATGAGCAAACAAAGCATTCCCAGTAAATAATTGATTGTTAAGTTATGTGTTATGCTATGAAGAAGTATTATATTCCCTGAGAGCACCAATCACCCCTAGTGGTGGAAGATGGGGTGATCAGGGGAGGATTCTCGGAGAAGGAGTCATTTCTTTTTCTTTTTTTTTTTTTTTTTTTTTTTGAAACAGAGTCTCACTCCATCGCCCAGGCTGGAGTGCAGTGGTGCAATCTCAGCTCACTGCAATCTCTGCCTCCTGGGTTCAAGAGATTCTCCTGCCTCAGCCTCCTGAGTAGCTGGGATTACAGGTATATGCCACCACACCCGGCTAATTTTTATATTTTTAGTAGAGACATGGTTTTACCATGTTGGTCAGGCTGGTCTCAAACTCCTGACCTCGTGATCTGCCCACCTTGGCCTCCCAAAGTGCTGGGATTACAGGCGTGAGCCACCACACTCAGCCAGAAATAATCATTTCTATGAGAGAGAAGGATTAATAAGAATTGTATACAGAAGAAAAGTCTAGGGAAGGGTGCTGTAGGCAGAAGAAGTGGCCCTTTGGTGGAAGAGAACATGCCCTGAGCCAAGGCTGACCACAGGCCAGTGGGGCTGGAGTGTCAAGGGTTGGGGCAAATGGCTAAAGATGGGACTGGAGGGGGCAGGGCCTCTCAGGCCATAGAACTGTCTTGTAAGAGTGTGTATCAGGTAAGTATGGTTGAAGACACACAAAGAAGCCACCAATGAGCAAAGGTGGGATAAAAGGGCACGGGTCAGACACAGTCTGAAGCTAGCCTTATAGGTCATTGTGAGCATTTGGGCTTTTGAGTGAAATGGGAGCCATGGAGCGTGGAGAGAGTTGAGGGGAGGAAAGGCACGGTCTAAGAAGCTTTAAAAAGAACACTGCAAGTTCTTCTTCCAACGGAATGGAGTGAACTCTTAACAGATATACCTTCCCACAAATAATATCTATAAATTCTGCATATAACATAGAAAACAATTGCTGAAAGGCTCTGAAGTGACCAAAATGATCAAACGACCAAAATGACCAAAAGCAGGCAGATTTTGGAAGGATGCCGAAGCTTTAAGAAGGGACCGGCATGTGGTAAGTTTTCCACTTGGGTGGCTTTACCCAGAGGGCAGGTTGCAGCTGTGGCCTTGTCCAGGGCTGCTAAAAGTCCAGTGGAAAATGCTGTCTGTTTGGCCTGAAGAGCCAGAGGATACAATGTAGAGCAACCAGAGCCCCTGGAAAGGAAGGGGAATTTTCTGGAAAGGAAAGTGCCAGAAAAGGCCCAAATTCCGTTAGTAAATTCTGATCAAGTCTGTGGCTCACTTCGGAATCACATATGCACAGAAGACTCAAGACTAAGCAGCTAAGGCTAAACAAACTGAGCTGTGATTTGAGATGCAGCCCATTGTAGGCAGAACGGTTAGTAGCTTGAGTCTGACCAAGTGAAATGCCTGTTAAAACAAAGACATTAGCACTCTTTGGAAGAATATGACAAACTCCAGAATCTCTATAACATATCATTTCCAATGTTCAGGATAAAAACCAGAAGCAACACACAAGAAATTAGAAAAATGTAATCCATCCTCAAGGAAAAAGATAATCGATGGAGATCAACTCTCAGGTGACTTAGAATTTGAAGTTAACAGACAAGTATCATAAAGCAGTTATTGGAACGGCACTAAACAAGGCAAAAGAAAATACACTCATAATGAATGAAGAGATAGGAAACTTCTAAAGAGAAATAAAAACATAGAAAGAATAAAATAGAAATTCCAGTACTAAAAAATACAATACCTGGACTATTTTAAACAATTACTGTATGGGCTTAAAACAGAATGAAGATGGCTGCGGGTGGTGGCTCACACCTGTAATCCCAGCAGTTTGGGAGGCCCAGGCGGGCAGATCACTGAGGTCAGGAGTTCGAGACCATCCTGGCCAACATAGTGAAACCCTGTCTCTACTAAAAATACAAAAAAATTTAGCTGGGCATGGTCGCACATGCCTGTACTCCCAGCTACTCAGAAGGCTGAGGCAGGAGAGTCACTTGACTCCAGGAGGTAGACTAGATTGCAGGGAACTGAGATCATGCCACTCCAGCCTGGGTGACAGAGTAAGACTCCATCTCGAAAAAAAAAAAAAACAGAATGAAGATGACAAATAACTATCTGTGAGTTTAACTTGAGCAACAGAAGCCGTTTAATTAAAAAAAAAAAAAAAAGAGGGACAGGAAGGGGGGGTTTAAAAAATGAACAGTGTCTAAGAGGTCTGTGGGATAACATCAGAGCTCTAATATATGCATAATTGGAGTGCCAGAAGGAAGGAGAGGAATAAGACAGCGTAATTTTTTTTCCTTAAGAAATAATGTCAAAATGGCATGGTGGCACACACCTACCTGCCCAAGAGGCTGAGGCTGGAGGATTGCTTCAGCATGGATGCCCAAGACCAGCAGCCTTCTCAGAGAAAAAGAGAGAGAGAGAAAAGGAGAGAGAAAAGAAAAGAATGAAATACTGGCAAAGAAAAAGAACAAAATAGTGGCAAAAACAACAACACCCACTTTCGAAACTGGGGCAAAACACAAATTTACATACACTCATTCAAACTGCTAAAAATAAAAGCTAAAAAGAAAACCTTGAAAGCAGCCAGAGAAAAAAAGACACGTTACATAGAAGAACAAAGATTCAAATAGCCACAGACTTCTTACCAGAAACTCTGGAGGCCTGGAGCAGGAAATATTTTTCAAAGATAAAATGGAAAATATTTTTCAAAGATAAAATATAACAATATGACAATAAAAAAGAGTGAAAATTTTTAAATTATATAACTATTTACATAGCATTTACATTGTATTAGGTATTATAAGAAATCTAGAGATGTTTTAAAATGTATGAGAGAATGTTCAGAAGTTATATGCAAACACTATGCCATTTTATGTAAGAGACTTAAGCACCCATGGATTTTGGCATCCATGGGGGAGTCCTGAACCCCACATTTCATTTAAAAGAAAATATATGGAATGTGTCACCAAAAGACCTGAACTATAAGAATACTAAAAGAAATTCTTCAGAATTAAGCAAAATAAAATCAAAGAGGCACTGGGTCTTCAGAAAAAAAAAAAAAAAAAAAAAAAGAACATCAGAAATGTATTTGAAATAGTTGGTAAATATATAAAATTATAAGTTGCTTTTCCTCTTAATCTCCTTAATATGCAGATAACTGTTTAAAGCAAAAATGATAGCACTGTCTTATAGGGTTTATAATGTATGTAGATGTAATACATATGAAAACTATAGCATACAACGGGGATGGCAAATATTTGTAAGAGGTCTGTATTTTACATAAAGTGATAAAGTATTAACTCTAAACTGACTGTGAAAAGTTAAGGACGTATATGTAATCTCTAGAACTGAAAAAAAGAAACTTTAAAAAATGCAAAGCAGTATAGCTAAAAGGACAAACAGTTGTTGCATGAAAAATGGAATTCTAAAACAATCCCCCGGCCTCTGTGCAAAGGGTGACCGCAGGCAGACTAGTTAGGGTGTTACTGAAAAGATCCAGGTGGGTGACGGTGCTGGCTTGGACTAGAAGGGGCCGTGGAGATGGGGAGAGGCGGTCAGATTCTGGATGGATTCTGAAGGTAGAACCCAGAGGATTCGCTCATAGATTGTATTTGTGGTGTGAGAGAAAGAGCCAAGGATGACCCTAGGGCCTGTGACCCTATCAGCTAAAGGGACAGAGCTGCATTTGCTGAGACTACAAAGAAGACTCTTCTCCTCCCTTTCCCTCTCCACTTCTCTGTGGCATCTGAGACCTGCAGCAGCTCCATGTTTGGAAACCAAGCTGGGCTAGAGTCCCGGTGAGGAAAGAGATGGGGACAGTCATATGCCACCCAGCCCAGCCCTCAAGTTGGAGCAGCAACGACAGAGCATGTGTGCCTCTTGGCAAGGTTCACGTCAGATCGAAACTTCATCCTTATGGCTTCTTCCAGCTTCCAGAGCTCCAACTCCAAGAGTCGCTTCCCAATGAGAAGTAATTGAGAAATAATTACTAATATTTCACAGAGATGGCAGAAGCCTCAGCCCCAGCCTCTGGAAACAAATTAGAGACGAGGATGAGGGTTAGAAATGGAGAGCGGCTCTGCTTCTCATTAGCAATTGCAAATAAGATTACAGAAAAAATGCTTCTGCCATGAGGATGGCGTCTGCCTGGAAAAAAATTAAACTAGTTGCAGGGTAATGTAGAGACCGTGGACCAGGATTCAGAATCTGGGTCGGGGGTAGGGCTCTAGGACTGACTTGCCTCAAATCAAAGAGCAGATCTTCGGCAACCTGTCTGAGCCTCGGTTTCCACGCCTGTTAAATGGCAAGAGGCTGCAGGACTCAACTCTGCAGCTGGACAGTGACTTATGGATGTAAGCCACTTTGGGCAGCCAGACAGCGCCCGGGCCCCACCAGCACAGGTAGCTCAGACTCACAGACATACGAAGACAGCAGGGAGCACTGGCTTAGAGGACTTTGCCTTTCCTGGCCTGGCCTAAATCCCCTATATCCTGGCTCCATCCTGAGTAAAAATGGCTGACATTTATCAAATGACAGACACTGTTCTGAATTCTTCACGGGCATACATTTATTTAACCCTCACAACAGCCCCATGAGGTAGGTACTATTTTTTTTTTTTTTTTTTTTTTTTTTGAGACGGAGTTTCGCTCTTGTTACCCAGGCTGGAGTGCAATGGCGCGATCTCGGCTCACCGCAACCTCCGCCTCCTGGGTTCAGGCAATTCTCCTGCCTCAGCCTCCTGAGTAGCTGGGATTACAGGCACGCGCCACCATGCCCAGCTAATTTTTTGTATTTTTAGTAGAGACGGGGTTTCACTATGTTGACCAGGATGGTCTCGATCTCTTGACCTCGTGATCCACCCGCCTCGGCCTCCCAAAGTGCTGGGATTACAGGCGTGAGCCACCGCGCCCGGCCAGTAGGTACTATTAATATCCCCACTTTATAGAGAAAGAAAATAAACTACACAAAGGCAAATTAACTTGGCCAAGGCCGGACAGCAAGCAAGTTGCAGAGCCAGAGGAGTGAACTCGGTCTAATCTTAAAACCTGTGCTCCTAACCACCAGGCTATTTGGCCCTTCGAGGCTTCTGGGGCTCCCCATCTCTGCCCCCTGACCCCAGACTGCAGAAGTTTTGGCAGTTAGTCCACCAGAGATCCCTGTCTCCCAAGGCCCCATAGACTTAGGTATGAATTATGATTCTATCACTTACAGCCACACAACTCTGAGCCTGTGTTTGCTTTTCTGTATTTTTTTTAAATTAATTATAGATTTGGCACAGGCTTACTCTAAGGAAGAAAGAAGACGTGGGTATAAGAAATCAGGCTAGGCATAGTGGCTCATGCCTATAATCCCAGCACTTTGGGAGGCTGAGGTGGGTGGATCACTTGAGATCACGAGTTCGAGATCAGCCGGGCCAACGTGCAAAACCCCACCTCTACTAAAAATACAGAAATTAGCTGGATGTGGTGGCATGTTCCTGTAATCCCAGCTACTCAGGAGGCTGAGGCAGGAGAATCACTTGAACCCAGGAGGCAGAACAGAGGCTGCAGTGAGTTGAGATTGTACCACTGCACTCCAGCCTGGGCAACAGAGTGAGACTCTTCGTCTCAAATTTAAAAAAAGAAAAAGGAAAGAAAGAAAGAAATCAAGCCCTAAGGGTCGGTTGCTTCCCTGCAGCCCCATCTCTGTCCAGCACTAAAGGACCCTCAGGCTCCTTGAAATACTCTCACCCCTCCAGGCTGCTCAGTCCTCTTCCTGACTCGGCCCCAAGGCCACCCTTGCTATGAAGCCCTCCTCTGTTCTCCCCCATCAAATCCCACCCCCAACCCACACTCAGCACTCCTTCCCAGGCATCTGCCATTCCAGCGTCACCTGTATGGCCCCTTTTCCATCCAGAAATGTAGCACCCCATGGCTACCTGGTCTTCAGGAGTTTTCCTGTCCCTCCTTTGCCATGAAAGGTGGTATTTGAGGATGGCCAAATTCTGCAGCCTGGCTTTGAAGGCGCTCCCTACCGTAGGTCTGGCACTCTGGAGAAGCTGACCTCATTTCTATAACCTCCCCAGGGTCCACTGCCCCTACTCACACTACAGCCTTTGTCCAAATCCCTCTCCCCAGCCCCCACCCAGAAGCCTGGAGACCAGGATGGATTCTGGAGTACTAGGAGAATATTCTGGCCAGAGATGCCCTGGAGACAGTCCATGAAAGGAAGTCCTGAGACCAAGGCAGAGGGGTTGGGTTACTGGAGAGCTAATCTGATTAGACCCAGTCAAAGGGGAAGGGGATGGACAGTGGGGACAGGAGCCTCGAGCCTGAAAAATAGAGTAATAGATCAGGATGTTGAGGCCAGATATGGAGACCGGCAAGGAGAGGACAGAACATGGAGGGAACAGAAGGGCCTGGCTTCCAGCCCCAGCTCCAGCGCTTACCTGTGCCTACCAGCTGGGTGGCCCCACATAGGCCACCTAAGCTCTCTGAGGCCCAGGGTCTTATTTTAAAGTCAGGCCAATCTACTCAGCACCCCAGGATTTCAAGGGATTCCATAAGAAAGCACAGAGGACCAAGGGCTGGGTGCTGAGCTTGTCCCTGACAGGGCTTTCTAAAGGGAGCTTCCCCTCATCCCCTCTCCATGCACAGAGCAAGATAAAATACCCCGCCCCTGCACCCTGGGGGCTGACAAGGACCTGCAGCAGCCAGCAGCTGGTCTGTCAACCTGAGAGAGCCTCTGCCCCCAGGGAGGCTCCTAATTTAATCAGCTTCACAAATCAGCTCGATGGGCTTAATTGATCTTTTTCACTCCTAATATTGTCGCTGTCACTTTCTGAGTTGTGCCTCCCCCAGCCACCCCCTGCCTCAACCAGCTGGAGAGGGAAAAGGAGCCCAGAGGCCACAGTGGGAGGGAGCTATGGACGGGGAAGGTGTGGAGGGCAGGGACAGTGAGGGAGGACCCAGATTGACACCTTCAGCCAGACTTTGGGGACTGCGAAATGCTGTGGTGGCAATTGTAGGATTGAAAAGCAGAAGGGCTTCTAGAGATTTACCTGGCCAGGGCCTTAAGCAGGTCACTCTAGGGCCCTCTGGGGCTCTGCTTCCTCATCTGTAAAGATCACAGCAGTGCTCTGCCTGTCCAGATCCATTCATTCTACGAGTGTTTGTTCAACACCTAGGCTATTCCAGGCGTGGTGCTAGCTAGACACAGGGAATGATGGTTTACAAAAGTAAACCTTTTCCAGCCCCCGTGGGGCACTCTAGACAAGCTGTCCTCCCTTGGGTGACACCCCCACGGAGCACAGACGAGTGGGGAGGCTGCCATCAGTGGAATAAGCACGTGAACACATGTCGAAATGCTGCAATGAGAAGCGAAAGGGGAAGTCCCTGGTGCTGGATGGGGCGGGGTGGGGGGAGGGCTCACGGAGGACTCGGTGCCTGAGTTGAGATTGAATGAGGCTGGGCACAGTGGCTCACACCTGTAATCCCAGCACTTTGGGAGGCCTAGGTGGGTGGATCACCTGAGGTCAGGAGTTCAAGAGCAGCCTGACCAACATGATGAAACCTCGTCTCTACTAAAAATATTTAAAAATTAGCTGGGCA